CTGAGACATTTCAAGGGATAATTAATCAATTTCACATGGCAAAATAAAATATTCTTCGTACAAAATATGTAATTAAAATGTTAATGGATTAAAATAAACATTAAACATATATTGGGTTAAATGCCTTTTTGCAAAAGATTAGGAGGTTTGGATGAAAACACTGTAAAGCATTTGAAATATTGAAATAGCCAGATAGTCCTGCTTTTTGTGGTTTGTCAGAGGTTCTGCAGATAATTTTCCTGAACCTGGTCCCAGTAGCAATCTGTTAGTTTTCTGCTTGGATTTGAAAGTAAAGTATTGGCTTTTAAAAAGAAAACCCTTACAAGAACCTTTAAAATTTGATGTCGAAAGTAAGCCACTTTATAATAGCTGCCCCCTGATTCTGAATGAGAAAATCCTTAGTGACAGGAGTATCAGCTATCATGATTATCCCATCTTGTCTAATTTTTAAAAAAACACATGCTGAGTAGGAAAAACTGCGTAGCTGCCATTTAGTCATGACAGTAATGATACTTCGATGTGAACTCAAGGAGTTTTAAACAAAAGTTTTAAAGGAAGTAAAACCCTTGTGACCACGAACTTCTCATTCATTGTTTTTAGGAAAAAGGGATTATTATTCTATTCTTTCTAAGACGTTTATTCGGGTTTGGCTAAGTTTCCTCTTCTTCATATTTCACAGTTAATTCTGTATGGTCTGTGGTTGACTTTTTTTTGCCTTTGAGGATTTTGAATGCTTTTTGAATTCTGAAACTCCCCTTGTTTTCTCTATTCAAGACTTAAAAGGTTCAGTTCTTCTTGCCTGCCGTCTGAAGATATCTCTTTCAACATGGGAATGTATCTTTTTCACTCTTTGATGAATTGTTTTTTTATCCAATAAAGCAATATTTTCTGTCATTTGATAAAGACATTTGTACACAGTGTTCTGAATAACATCTTACTAGAACTTAGTTGCTGATATGGAAATACTCACTTGAAGCAATGTTCACTGCTTTATGTGTTTTAGCAACATTAGTGTAATCATGTAGGCTGTTTGTGAGAACCCTGAACAGAACTATTCCTTCTGTAATATGAATTGAAAAGATTATAGAATATCACTTTCCCAATGTGAGGAAACATGACAAAAGTTAAAATATTGAGTCCTTTCAAGCACCACAGTTATTAACAGGCATACAATAAGGAAAGGTCAGCTAAAAAGTTAACAACTTGAAGCATGTTGAATCTGTGGTTTCTTGTGGAATTAATCTTTTCCGTTAATTTCTTCATGCAGCCTGGTGATCTCAAGGACTGGCTTGTGGGCCGCAGCAATGCTCAAGGCATAGACCTCAACAGGAACTTCCCAGACCTGGACAGAATAGCGTACATCAATGAAAAGGAAGGAGGGCCAAATAATCACCTTTTGAAGAACATGAAGAAAGCTGTGGATCAGAATAACAAGGTATAAATGCAGAAGCGGTGGTCTAATAAAATAAAACTCAATTAATTCACTTTACTTACTCAATTAAGATTTAGTTTCTAAAATTACTTCATGTGAAATTAGTGAACTATTCATTTTCAAGGTTATGGTTCTTATAGACATTATTATCCTTCTTTTCAGTATTTATGCTTAAAATGAGCTGCTAAAATATTGGTAAGGATTGGTATCTAAGGTTTGCCTCTTTAAAATAAATGAAAACCTCAGATGTTGCTTTTTATGTAAAAATTAATCATAATTAATATTATTCTATGAATATTTTGACTTGAAATTTGGAAAATCAAATACGTCACAGTGGATTAAAAGATCATTTTTTGACGTTAGATTAGATGAGTATTTAGTACTTATAGACATGAATACAGCAAACAAAAGGGATGGAACATCTCCAGTGAGGTTAACTACGACTTCATCAAGTCTTATCAGAGGTATAGTTAGAAAACCAGGAACACATCTCTGGAACCATACTGTCTTGAAACACAAACGTAAACCACCATCTAATCCATTTTAAACTTGCTCATGAACCATAAACAACACAATGCCTGTCCAGGGGTAGATTCCTCCCCAATCTTCCTTACCCTCACTGGTACTTGTCTACGTTTCTTCTATGATTGTCCTGTAGGAGAATGCTTTTGGGTGTATTTGACTAATACGTTTTCAGATTTCACTGGTGTAACCGTGTCTTTAATCACTGTTTGGGTACTCTTGAGCACAAAAACAAATAAGAATTGGGACACCTTAAACCATTGCAGACCTTCACAGGAACACGCATATGAAGGCCATAAGATCCCAAGTTGTTGTTTTTTCTCTTTTGTCAGACCGTTTTTTTTTTGGTTCTTAAATTTGTTGTGTTTTGTTCTACAAGTAACAGCATAAAGAGGTATGATGTATCTCTATATGGCAAACATACGGAGAACTGAAAGATGTTGTTTTTTCCACAGCTGGCCCCAGAGACCAAGGCTGTGATTCACTGGATCATGGACATCCCGTTCATCCTTTCAGCTAATTTACACGGAGGAGACGTAGTGGCCAACTACCCGTATGATGAGACACGTAGTGGTGAGCTGGACTTGAAGTGCTTATTGTAACTTTGTGATTAACTCCTTGGAATAATGACGGAGCTGACTAAGGCTCGGGATTAAACATTCTGGTTCTTTTGTTCCCGTGATTTCAGCTCAGAATCTTGTAAGGCTACCACTTAAGAGGAGAATAAGCATTATCTTTAGGTTACACTGGAGTTCAATCAAAATGTTAAATATTTCAGAACCTACTTTGTTCAGCACCTTGACTTCATGGGAATCCTGGTATTTTATACAAAATGTAAAAACAACATTGATGGACAGAATGTAGGATAGAAACATTTTAGTACTTCAGGCGGGTAGCTGTGTCAGCGTGTGTATTCTGCAAAGGAACAAGTAATAGTTTTATCCCATGCTGAAAAGAGAAGAAAGAAAACACAACGTTTCGGCTGTGGAGCCCTCTTCAAGTGTGACTTTCATTTCTTTTCAGCATGGAATAAAACTATTTCTTATTCCTTAGAAACATTATATACTTGTATATACAGGTAGAAAGGAATGTGAAGCACCTTGTATTCGGCAGGGATTTTTTCCTTTGCACTGTTCTGCAAAAATCTTTGTTTAATTGGTTAACAGTTCATCCTCAATCAGAATGTAGGAAATACCAAACATCATTCTAGTGTAGATTAGTCTGGATTAGTGGAGAGAAAGATTATAATTGTTTTCCTTTTCAGTACTTGTACTCAGTTCTTTTTTTACTTGTGGATCTCAGAATGCATCAATCTCAAAGAAATTATTTCACAGAAGAAAAATAAAAATCAATAATTTCAGCAATTGCATACTTTTGAATCGTGGCTCTACTGTATGTAGGTAAATGATCTGATTATCTCTTTTGGCCATTTCTTGAAAGAAAGCAGAATATCAGCTTCAACAACATTGCTGGGTGGCTTGTTCTAGATTGTGACAAACGCTTATGTAAAAGGTACCTTTTGTTATTGACTTTAAAAACGCTTACCTGTAGCTTTCCATCTATATCCTCTGGCACACGTTGATTGTGGATATTAGTAAATGCTTCTTTGTCCAAGACTAAAAAGATTCAGTTCTTTAAGCTTGTCAATGTAGGATTCCTCTGAATCTGGTAATAGATTCAGATGTTTTTCTCTGGATAGATTCTAGAGCAGCAGTTTCTTTCTTCTGTGGTAACCATAAATGAACACAGAATCCTAAATGAAGTCTTGCTAGTATATTGTACAATCTTAACTTAATATCCCTTGATTCAAATCGTACACATTTAACTATATACCCTAACACTGTTTGCTGACATAATTTTCATTGTTCTTTAAAACAACGTGAAACTGTGCAGTTACGGTACATTTTCCTTTTTCATAGAACTGTTCCAGAATATTCAGTGGTGACTGGGCCATTCCGGCTGTCCATGTGGAATATATAGATTCTTGTTCCATCATAAAATCCACATATATTGAGCACTGAGCAATGCGCAGTATACCGAATGCTGTTCAGTCAGAAAGGGAACGAGACAGTCACAGTGCTGCTGATTTTAGGAGTTCGTGATAAGCAGTTCTGTTCTTCTCTGTGTGTTGACAGGCTCTGTTCATGAGTACAGCGCCAGCCCAGATGATGCCACATTCAAGAGTTTAGCCCGTGCCTACTCCAGCTACAACCCCCTCATGTCAGACCCGAACAGACCACCCTGCCGCAAGAACGATGATGACAGCAGCTTTGTCGACGGCATTACCAATGGAGCTGCTTGGTACAGCGTCCCAGGAGGTGCATGTTAATGCTTTTCTTCACAAAGATACATGGTCACCCTTCATTTGTGCTATCTACACGGGTTTAAATAAGACTTAAACAAGAGTTTTACATGGTGTGTAACCGTACTACAAAGCAGATAAAAAGTCTGGCTGCTTTCCACAAATTACGTCTGATCATTATTAGCCTTTCTTGTGCATAGACTTTAAACTGTACATCTGTGGTCTGAACAGTGCTTTTTGGTGTAAATTTGGACAGAGCTAAAATAGTTTTCTTTCACCGTTCAGGCATGCAGGACTTCAATTACCTGAGCAGCAACTGCTTCGAGATCACAGTAGAATTGAGCTGTGATAAATTTCCACCTGAGGACACCCTCAAGATGTACTGGGATCAGAATAAGAATTCTCTGGTTAACTACATTCAGCAGGTGTGTGGAGTACCTTTGCATATGAACCGTTCAATGTAAGGAATGTTGTCTGCAAGTGTCTAACACTCTAATTTTATGTTACAATATACCAGTCTTATAATAAATGTTATTATACACATTTTATCATTTTAGAACAATTCACTTGTAAAACCGTAGTATTACACATACAAATATACACAAGTTACCTCTAAACACCTTCAGTATATTTGATTAAGGCTTGTAGAAGATGGGAGCATTCCATTAAAAACAAGCAAGAAGAGTGTATAAAAGAGATAGACACCAAGATACAGTGGGTTTGAAATTTACAACTAGCAATTAACAAGATAGACACCAAGATACAGTGGGTTTGAAATTTATAACTAGCAATTAACGAGATAGACACCAAGATACAGTGGGTTTGAAATTTACAACTAGCAATTAACGAGATAGACACCAAGATACAGTGGGTTTGAAATTTACAACTAGCAATTAAC